TCCTGTTTGCTTTCACCTGCTGTTTTACATATCTGCTTTATTTGTATGCAGACTGTTGGTTCCTTGCTTTTCAAGACTCCAACTTTAAAGGAAATACCCTAATTAGTCACATTTTAAGACATGCTTGTTGAGGGGGAGGGGGGACATTGGGTCTAACCCCCCCCCCCCCCCCCAAACAAGCAGGGAAAAGTGCTGTATTAGGCTTTATTATTGTACTGTTTATATGAAGACATATCAGAAGTGCGCATGTTTCTATTTCAGACACAATGCAGGTCTTTGAGGCTGCCAGGTTTGCAGTGAACTTCTTGAACAGCTTCAACAGTGGGAGTGGGTACGGCGGAGTCAAATTTGGTAAATATCTGTTTATTATAACTGGAGACATGTTTAAGCTAGTATTCACAGTACTCTTAGATTGAAACAGCTCTGAGGCTTAGAGGTTAGTGAATTGGGTTCTTTATTATTATCTTACCCCCACATGATGTCACTGGCCAGTGACATTTTAGAGGGTGGTAAGACTGGGTTTCTGGCTTTCTGATGCTTTTAACGACCCCAAAACATCTAGAACTTGCTCTAACCCAAACCCACCTATATCCCACGAGAGAGTGCAGCCTATCTACCACCCCTGAAATATTAGACTGCCCCGTGACCTGTGGATTTCCCGTTTGGGGTAGGGTATTAATAAAGCACCGTGAATTGCTTTCATAATGCAGTCCTCTACCTTTGCCAGACTTTGATTACCTTGGTGGGTGACTTTAAAAAAAAAATTGTTGGTAATAGCTACATAGATGGAGCAGCTGGGTTATTGGTTAAGAATGCTGGGCTCTCATGTGGAAAAACCTGGATACAATTCTTGGTATGGTTAGGGATTTTTTCCCGTCAGAATAAAAAATAACATCTAAACCTGCACATTTTGTCGCGACCTGAGTAACCATGTGGCCCTAAATCCTCAGGCTCAGAGACCCCGCCCTCACAGCAAAAGAGGTAAATAATGGCAGTTAGGTGGATAACTACATAAGGGACACACCAGCATGATATTGACCACATAACCCTTTGAGTACCTTTTATTCTGTACAAATAGGAAGTGCTAATGACCACTAAAACATTGAGTACCGATTAATCTGTGTAAATGGGAAGTGCTAATGACCACTAAACCATTGAGTACCGATTAATCTGTACAAATAGGAAGTGCTAATGACCACTAAACCATTGAGTACCGATTAATCTGTGTAAATGGGAAGTGCTAATGACCACTAAACCATTGAGTACCGATTAATCTGTGTAAATGGGAAGTGCTAATGACCACTAAACCATTGAGTACCGATTAATCTGTGTAAATGGGAAGTGCTAATGACCACTAAACCATTGAGTACCGATTAATCTGTACAAATAGGAAGTGCTAATGACCACTAAAACATTGAGTACCGATTAATCTGTGTAAATGGGAAGTGCTAATGACCACTAAACCATTGAGTACCGATTAATCTGTACAAATAGGAAGTGCTAATGACCACTAAAACATTGAGTACCGATTAATCTGTGTAAATGGGAAGTGCTAATGACCACTAAAACATTGAGTACCGATTAATCTGTGTAAATGGGAAGTGCTAATGACCACTAAAACATTGAGTACCGATTAATCTGTGTAAATGGGAAGTGCTAATGACCACTAAACCATTGAGTACCTTTTATTCTGTACAAATAGGAAGTGCTAATGACCACTAAACCATTGAGTACCTTTTATTCTGTACAAATAGGAAGTGCTAATGACCACTAAAACATTGAGTACCGATTAATCTGTGTAAATGGGAAGTGCTAATGACCACTAAACCATTGAGTACCGATTAATCTGTAAAAATGGGAAGTGCTGTTGACCACATAACCCTTTGAGTACCTTTTATTCTGTACAAATAGGAAGTGCTAATGACCACTAAAACATTGAGTACCGATTAATCTGTGTAAATGGGAAGTGCTAATGACCACTAAACCATTGAGTACCGATTAATCTGTAAAAATGGGAAGTGCTGTTGACCACATAACCCTTTGAGTACCGATTTATCTGTACAAATGGGAAGTGCTGTCGACCACATAACCCTTTGAGTACCGATTTATCTGTACAAATGGGAAGTGCTGTCGACCACATAACCCTTTGAGTACCGATTTATCTGTACAAATGGGAAGTGCTGTTGACCACATAACCCTTTGAGTACCGATTAATCTGTACAAATGGGAAGTGCTAATGACCACTAAACCATTGAGTACCGATTAATCTGTACAAATAGGAAGTGCTAATGACCACTAAACCATTGAGTACCGATTTATCTGTACAAATGGGAAGTGCTGTTGACCACATAACCCATTGAGTACCAAATAATCTGTACAAATGGGAAGTGCTGTTGACCACATAACCCGTTGAGTACCGAATAATCTGTAAAAATAGGAAGTGCTAATGACCACTAAACCATTGAGTATCCATTAATGTATACAACTGGGTGTCTATATACCCAGTCTGTCAGTAACGTGAAAGCTTCCTTTACTGTTTTCTGTTGATAAAGGAAATAGGCAAAGAATAATTGAACAACTGGTCTAACGCAGTCTGCATTTTTGATTATGTAATAAGAAGGATAAAACGAGTACATTTTGACAGGAAAATTGGAGGGGAAATGAGGCAGAGGGAGTCCAAGAGACAAGATGTAGGACAGTTTCACATGGCACTGAAGATCATTTGTGCCAAAAATTTATTAACAGTACACAAGATAAGAGTGTTGTGGATAGACATGACTACTAGCCGCACATGGCATGGAAGAAAATATATAATGCAGAGAGACTGGGACACCCATAATGATTGCTTGCCGATCACTGGGTCATGGAAGCAACTTAACGCATTGTTTGACTGATTTATGTGGGAAGCAGAGAACAGCCAAAGAAAAACAGAAAGACTTGTTTTAATATTTTAAATAATTAGCTTCATTCATATGCTCTCTCTCTCTTAAACTTGGCTGGTTTACCGATTTAAGAATCAGTTTAGCACGTCGGGCATGCCAGCAGCTGCTGCTCTTCTGAAGCAGATGTCTTGAGGTGTAGATACTAACTGCTCCCATAGCACAATAATTATAAACTAGTTCTTTTCCTCACATGCATCCCTCCTTGCCTGATCCACATCGTATTCCTCATTTACACATTCTTACATCAAAGCAAAAGGCAAATGAGCAAGAGATTGACAAGTGAGAGGATAGCATCAAAAGTTTGAGAAACAATAGCCTGAGAGATCTGGAGTGAGGACCAAAAAAAAACCACACAGCATGATAGAGCTTTATTGCAGCTACCTTCGATTGGAGGCATAGCCGCTCATTTATTTATTTACTGCAAACTCTTACATTGTAATTGTTGATCAAGGGTTTGTTAACAAATTGTGTTCATTTTCTATTTCTCTAGGCTTGAACGCTTACGACACATGCAGTTCAGCCAGCAGTGCTCTTAGTGCTCTTGAGATGATATACCCACAGTCCAGATCAAGCAGTTCGCTTTGTACATTAAATAACACTGTTGTTGCAGGTGAGTTATTTCATGAATTAAAACATCAATATTTCTTCCTCTTTGTCTCTTCCTTTAGTTACTTCAGAAAAGAAGAGTTAGGGAAGATGTGTAAAGGCTTTATGTGTACTTTCTTATTCATTCATTCATTCATGAATTGTCCTATTGTATCATTAGGTATCCTATAGGGCTAGCAGTCTGTTTCTCCATTCCTTTCTATGCTGCGCAAGCACTTCTCTCATTGTTCATTTTATATTTAAAAAAAAATACCTTGGCACCCAGGTCGACCTAGAATTTATTGGGTACCAGGTAAAGTCCTGGGAGGTAAAGGCAGCCAGTATGATGTTTACTATGTCACCCACAGTGCCAACTGGTCTATAAAATATAGATCAAGCCCTATATGCCCAGTACACCTGAAGGCACGGAAAAGGGTCCTTTGCTTTACTTTTTATTATCTTTCTCATTCATACCTTGGGGTGGCTGCAGCATCGGAGGACTGAGCATGCATGGGAATGTTCAATCTGCCGTGGTGTCGATTGTGATAACATAAGTTTATCTAAGGTTGCTCTTGATGCCGTTGTTCTACATTTTGTGTGGTATTCCCTTTGCTCCATGTTCATTGTATTTCTTTTAAATGGCTTTCTGTCAGTTGGTACAAAGACTACATTGTCACATAGTCAGTATTTACTTTCACTAGTTTATGGGAAATTGACAGAAATGTAACGTGTTAACAAATATTTTCTCTCTGGTTGTTTTTGATGCTGCTGTTCTGGTTTTGTATATTTGTCTCATTCCTCTTGTGTTTATTTGATTGCTTCAACATGACTCTCTGTGGCAGTTGATGCCAGGGCATTCTCCACAGATGGTAGCTATTTATATTTATTGCTTTGTGGGAAACTGAGATGTCAAGAACAACATTAGAGAAACAAAGACCAGTTAATTCAGCACATTAGAAAGAGCGCACAAGCATAGGGGCCAGAACCTGGAGGCTCAGGTACCTTGTCCCCTCCCCCATTTTTTGGGTGCAAGATTGGGACCCCCCTTCCCTCCCCCTCTACCATAATTCTTAGATGGGGCTGAGCTCCAACCTTTAGAAAATGCTTAAGGTGAATAAGTCGTCCCCCAACCATGTATTGACGTTCTTTGTTTTTTTTCAAGTATTTGTTTATACATTTCATATTATTTCGAATATTTTACTATATTTATCTGCCATTCAACACATAATAATAGTAATTGTTGCACAGTTAAACAAGGCTCAAGATGTTCAGCCCTGCTGCCTAGAAAATTGCGGTGGGGGAAGCGTCCAGTACTACTCCCAATTTCTTGGTGCCGGTGCGCTTGTGCAGAAGTTATTGTTACATTATCCTTCAAACACTCCCCTGAAGTAACTGGAGAAAACAAGAAGTAGAAGATTTTGATATTGAAAAACATTTCATGTATTGATAAACAGTTTCTTTTTGTTGTGTCAGGTGTTGTTGGGTCTTTATCCAGTACAACAGCCCTTCCAGCGGCTGTCCTTGCAGGCCGCCTACAAGTGAACCTCATTTCGCCGGGTGCAACAGATCCCCAGCTGAGTGATAAGTTTAAATACCCAACATTCTTGCGGACGGTGCCATCATATGCTGTGTTTGCGCAGGTTGGTTCGTTTTTTTTTTTTTTAAGCTAGATAATTTTTTTTTAAATCAAAGACCTTTAGCTGCTGTGTTTCCCCAAAAATAAGACCTATCATGAAAATCAGCTGTAGAATGATTTTTCAGGTTGCTTGTATTGTTAGCCCTACCCTAAATGAAAACTGGAATTAAGATCGTTGTCAGGCAGGCGGAATTGGTTTGTATGTTAAAACACATTACTGACATAAATTGTGAAGTAATTATTGTATCAATACTTGAATGAAAAGATAAGGGAAGAATTCCCCATCATATGAACACCGGAAGAGAAATGAAAACGAGGAAGACCAAATGTTGCATGCTGATTCAGATGGATTGGGAAAGGTTGTAACATTGTTGGAGACAATGTCGTGTGAATTGTGTTTTCGTGAATCCACTGGTCTTTCCCGCCCTGAGTCAACACCCTCCTGCATTAATATTGACTCAAGCCGAACTGACATCTCCTGGCTTAAGTCAACACTGCACCAAATATGGACTCAGGTCACCGGACATTCCCGCAACACCAAGAGAGACTCTACTTAGTCCATCAGGGAAGGCTCAACCAAAGGCCTAACATACATCCAAGACCTAAAGCAGGTGGAAACGAACCGCCAGACCTGGGGAGCTATGACCTTTGCTCTAGGCCCAAGAGGAAAGACTAAGACAATACTTAAATAAATGATAGATGCAAAAGTGGTACTTCAGGCACTCCAGTCTGGAGAATTACCAGGTATAGAGACACTACTATCTGAACTAGACTACCGGTGTAAGGTGGTTATGCAATGGATACCATTCCACTTTCTAGAAGTGAAAGAGCTGATAAACTAGCTAAGGAAGGTGCAACTGAAGAACAATCCGACGTACTGTCTCCTATCTATAGAAGAAGAGAATAATCAAATCAATCAGAAAGCCACCAAAACTGACACAAGATGATTACCATATTATGGACAGAGCAGAACAAGTCATTATTCTACGCCTTAGAACAGGGCACAGTCGACTTTGCAGCCACATGTACACAAAATTTAAGATGGGCGAATCAGCCATGTGTACCTGTGAATTGGCTCCTGAGAGACACTGGTGGAAGCCAAACTTTATGGGTTCGCTAAGTGAATTACAAGACAGTGAAGTTTATACTAGAGACAGCACTGCAGATATAGATAATTTATTTCAAGCAAATTAAAGAAGAAGAAGAAGAATAAATGTAGATTTTTGAATTTGAATAAGTGTAGATTTTTGAACTTGAATGTCTGTAGATTTTTGTACATGAAAAATGTAAGACATCCCCTGAAAATAAGCTCTAAGGTCTCTCGTGAAGCAGAGATTAATATAAGACCCTGTCTTTTTTTCTAGAGAAAAACAATATTACCTGATGAATTCCTACATTAAAAAAAAAAAATTAACAGGTAGCCTCTATTATACAGGGTTATTCAAAAAGATGAATACACTTTCATTCCTGTATATTTCCTTGAATATACATTCCATAATAATAATGTACATACAAGAGAGAGGAAGGTCTAAAGTTTACAGTTTAACAATAGAGATGCTAGGTGTTCAATATGGCCATCATCTGCTGCACGGCCAACATCTAAGCAGTAGCCAAACTCATCCCACACATGAAGAAGCACCTACTGTGTAACTGAGTTCACTGCCACTGTGATACTGTTTTACAGGGCGATCAGAGTTTATACAGCTCTGCTCTAGAGGTAGTCTTCTAAACCTTAGACCTCTCTTCTAATGTATATTATTAATATGTAATTTGTATCCAAGGAAATATATATGAATAAAAGTGTGTGCATCATTTTGAAAAGCCCAAGATTTTTATATGTGGTTGCATTGAAGAAGTGCATGTTATGGCAGCAGTGGTCCTAAAATCTCATGCTATTATTGTGGAAGGGTCTTTTTAACGTATCCAATGCCTCCCCATGGTACAATCTCGCACTGTAGTCTAGAAAGACGGAAAGATGCCAACAACCTAGTGTTTAGTGTTGTTATGTGGTACTATATAATTTTAGGGTACAATAGTTCAACACCAGTGGGTTGTGAATTTTTGTGTGTGCATGGCAAGCCAGATGTGGCCAAGGCCTTTTGAAAGCAATTGAACAATGCAACTGTATGAATTGATCATGATCTTGAGAGAATGGCACATCTGGGAGTGACCAGGGGATCTGGTCAAAACTCTACACTAATAGGACCAGCAGGACGGACATACTTATAAATGCTACTGGTATTATCGCTGGCTGCTGAAGATGAGGACAGAGCACTTATGAGAATGTTCCAAATGCTGTGATGTCTCAGTTCTAAGCTCAATATTTGACACTACAAAGAGTCTACGACCACATCACCTGCAGCTGACTTCAAACCCTGGTATCTTTGGACTGGGAAAATGCATTCACAGTTCCCTAGCCACAGTTGTTGGCTGACTGAAGAAAAACCCCCAGTTTTTACAGTCCTGCCTGTAGTTGCCAATTTTAGGCAACGATTCTACGACCACATTAACTGCAACTGACTTCAAACCCTGGTATCTTTGGATTAGGAAAATGCTTTCACAGTTCTCAAGCCACAGTTGTTGGCTGACTGAAGAAAAACCCCCAGTTTTTACGGTCCTGCCTGTAGTTACCAATTTTCAGGGCCAATTTTAGGCAACGATTCTACGACCACATTAACTGCAACTGACTTCAAACCCTGGTATCTTTGGATTAGGAAAATGCTTTCACAGTTCTCAAGCCACAGTTGTTGGCTGACTGAAGAAAAACCCCCAGTTTTTACAGTCCTGCCTGTAGTTACCAATTTTCAGGGCCAATTTTAGGCAACGATTCTACGACCACATTAACTGCAACTGACTTCAAACCCTGGTATCTTTGGATTAGGAAAATGCATTCACAGTTCTCAAGCCACAGTTACTGGCTGACTGTAGACAGCAGCATGACAGTGAAGGTCATGGCTGTGACAAAGGCCAGAGTAAGACAGGAGGGTCATGAACCAGAGGATTTGAATCTGCATGGCTAGATGACTGAACAAACTTTCATGAAAACAAAAAGTGACATAAATTGAGTAGTTTGGCTCTAAAACAGTGGTCCTCAACCTTTCTAGTGCTGCAACCTTTTAATAAGTTCCTCATGTTGTGGTGACCCCCAAACATAACATTTTCTGTTGTTTCTACTTTATAACTTCAGTGAATGTGTGTTTTCCAATGGTCTTAGGGGACAACTGTGAAACGGCTCTGTCGTTCAACCCACAAGGGGTTGCGACCCACAGATTGAGAACCACTGCTCTAATGTAATGCAAAGATATCAAACCAAATGAAAAATAGAACCACCCGGCTTCATATTACAAACACAAACAACAAGTGAACGTTGCAATTAGAGAACCTTCATCAGCACATTACATGAGTAGACAGTACAACAAATATAAACAACTGCACAGAATCACTTTACTGAAGTATCTTCTTGAGAAATCACCTATTTGTCTGACCAGCTGAATCTCTGACTTTCTAATATAATGTAGTTCCAGGAAGTAAATGTTTAGTTTCAGTTCACTATGTCAGGAAAGGAATATGGAACTCTAGTTGTATAGTTTTAATAACTAAGTTACGTATTTACAATTATGTTATTGCGATTCTAATGTATGTCAGTGAAAGTTTGAGAACTAGTGGAGTCATGGAATGAAAGTTCAATGCATTAAATAATAAATGTAACAAAACAAGAACCCACAGAGCCTGGGAAAAAGGGGGGGGGGGGAACCATTAAAAGAAAAAATGCATGAGAAGAATTAGGTTAATAAGATATAGATATCATGGAGTGAGTTGAACAAGATGGCTAGGGATAGAAATGCTTGGCATGTCATGATTGAGGGCTTCTGTTCACTTGTTACTAATGTTGAGTTTAGTCAAGAATTGACATCACAGCATGCGGGGCATTCCCATGCATGCTCCATCCTCATCTTCAGCAGCCAGAGCAGAGTTCCAGAGTTGTGGTACTGGTCACAATCTGGTTATATTTACTAAAGTTGTGCATGCAAACTATTTTCAGGTACTGGCTCAGCTGCTGCAGCGACTGCAGTGGAAGAACATTCTGGTTGTGTACACTGATAATGCTTTTGGGCACAGCGGACAGGAGCAGCTGCTCATGGCCATGTATGATCGAGGCCTGTGTGTGTCACAGACACTGATGCTGGACGCAAAGGGCAACAAAGATTCATACAAGGCAGTTCTGAGTAATATTGGGAACATATCTACTTCTGTTGCTGTGCTGATGTCTCCTAACAGGCTGACCAAAGTAATACTCCAAGCTGTTGATGAGGTAAGATAAATCTTGTAGCAGGTACCTGTACAGCTAGGCTTATTTTTCTTCTTTTCTTCCTCTTTCTTCTTATTCTTCTTTTCCTCCACCCTCCCCATCTTCATCTTCTTCTCTACCTCCTCGTTATTTTCCTCCTCCTTCCCTCCCCTCCTCCTTCTCCCCACCCTATTTCTTTTCCTCCCTACTTCTTGCTCCTCCTTCTTCTCCTTCTTTTCCTCTCTCTCCCCCTTCCTCTCTTCCTTGTTCTAACTCCTCCGCACCAACCTTTTTTTCCCTGCTTCTTTTCCTTCTCATCTTTCTCCCCATTATTTGTCTCCCCCCCCCCTCACCCTCCACTTCTACTTCCACATCCACCTCCTTTTCTCTCTTCAGCAGTACATAGTTATATGCATCTATTTTATCATGGGTCACAAACGGGATTGTCTTTCTTGAAGGTTGCTCCAGTAGGCTAGGTTTCCACACTGGCAAAATCTGGACAATCTTAAAAGACATGCTCTGAGGTTTGTTTTGCTGTGCCCCATCTGCTTTTGGCAGATTCATTGAAGTTGTGCTCTGAATTTAGTGTCTGATTCTGAGTCCTAGAATTCTGGCCTGCAAGTTTCTGCAGAGCCTATTCATGTTGACATGCTCTGGTCTGTAAGTTTCTGCAGAGCCTATTCATGTTGACATGCTCTGGTCTGTAAGTTTCTGCAGAGCCTATTCATGTTGACATGCTCTGGTCTGTAATTTTAATTTCTTTCATTCTAAAGCCTTTCGCTTGAATGCACACATCCCTGATGTGCCGAACGGCACAGCTTTTGCAGCCTAGTTGGAAACCACAACATATGGTGCCAGCTTCCCTTTTAAGGCTGGTTTTACTGGTTTAGTAAGAATTATACTACCTCTTAAAACTATGTGTGTGTCCGGAAAGGTACAAGATTCTGATTTTTGCTTTTCTTGCAGCCTCAACCATGGAACCTTATACTATTGAAGAAGTTATTTGAAGGTATCTTTCCACCCTGCTCTTGGTCTGTCTCAGGCTCTTCATCCCTCTCCTCTTAATTTGCCTTAAATAGTATAGCATCACAAAGCGGCCTTGGTAAGTGGGAAGATCATTTTATTGTTTTAAAAAAAATATATAAATTCAGCGTGCACATGTTGATCGGCACCTGAAACAAAAGATCATGTCCTCCAAGACTTTCCCAAATACAACATATCAAGGCGAAACTTTTGGCTATGAGAAACATTGATGCAGGTCAAACTTTACAGATTGTTTAGTGAATTACAAAAGACAATGAAGTTCATACTAGAGACAACATTACAGACATAGATAATCTATTTCAAGCAAACAAAAGAAGTAGTAGTATTTTAAGTTAAAAAAAACCCAGATTAAATGAAAATCACAAGCTGTTTGCTTCTTTATTTAACGTAAACTATTCTCTGAATATTTTAACATTTAATTTTAGCCAACCCATCCTTAAATAATATGAAGTATGTGATTTGTACTTCACAGATTCCATCTTTGGCTAACCTGCAATGGGTAGTTGGTGATATAGATATAACAAATGATCTCAGCAGCTTGAAACGTGTCCGTGGAGCCATGGTGGTTGTTCCACGATCAGCCACTGTTGACGAATTCAGGCAGTACTTCACGCAGCTTCTGGCTAGTCCAAGGAATAATGCTGGAAATCCCTGGTTTGCTGATTGGTAAGTTTTGTAAAGTAACAGAAATGTGTGTATATTCTGGTGTTTTGGCTTATGGTAGCACGAATGCCTGAAGTTCTAACTGATGTATAAAGTTGGCTACTGTTGAAATACTGTCTACAGCAGTCTGATAAAAACATGTAAAGCTGTTTATGAGATAAGATAAATGTTGTAGGAACCTGGAAAGTAAAGAAGATAAATGTTGTAGGTACCTGGAAAGTAAAGAAGATAAATGTTGAAGGTACCTGGAAAGTAAAGAAGATAAATGTTGTAGGTACCTGGAAAGTAAAGAAGATAAATGTTGTAGGTACCTGGAAAGTAAAGAAGATAAATGTTGTAGGTACCTGGAAAGTAAAGAAGATAAATGTTGTAGGTACCTGGAAAGTAAAGAAGATAAATGTTGTAGGTACCTGGAAAGTAAAGAAGATAAATGTTGTAGGTACCTGGAAAGTATAGAAGATAAATGTTCTAGGTACCTGGAAAGTAAAGAATTTTCTTTTCTTCTTCTCATCCTCCTGCTCCTTCTTCTTCAGCAATTATTTTACCATCATCTCTTCTGCCTGGGGACACAGACAGTATAGTGCACTTTAGGTCTTTACTGTGCCCTCTAGCTTTTCTTTAATGGTTGTTCTGGTGGCAAACCTGTATCAGCAGCTGTGGAGTTTGTAGTTTACTTAGACAGTTTTATACACAGTCGTTTGCTATTGTTACTAAACGAATGACACTCATATGATTGTCAAAATGAGTGTTTCCTGTGTTGGTTCCGAGATTCCCTTTTAGAGAACAAAGAATAGACCCATTCCCAGCCCCCACCCCCAATCATGTCGTAGGAGAAGACTAATTAGGGGTGTTCCCTTCAAGTTTAAGTGCATCTGCCTGAGAGGCAGGGAACCAATAGTCCGCATACAAATAAGCCAGATCTGTAAAGTGGATGTGCACACAAAGCTCAAGCTCTGGAACAAGACAAGTCCAGAAGAGGAACTTTCTGCTGGAGTTTACAGCTGGTTAGAACAAAGAAGAGAAAAAGACTACTACTGAGTAAATTGCCATTTTAAAGTAAAGAATTCATGATATTTTATCATGATTTTTATTTTCACTTTGGTATCATGTGAAACCTTCTGGTACTGGAAGAGTTAAGTAAACAGTGTCCGAGACTTATGAGTTAAAATAATAGCACTATGAGGTAAGAGTTGAATGAATTGGGACTGAAGGGTTAATATAAAAATGAAATGTAGCATAAGTTAAGAAAAGTCAATTTTGTCAGATGAAGCGAAGACATGCATGGTGAGTTTCTTGCGACCAAGTGAGTTAAACGTAAATTTATGTCTGTATTGCTTATAATTTTTGACATATGAATCCTCTTGAATCCTTCTCCAGGTTTGAGACAACCTACGGTTGTTCATTGACAGCCGGAAACTGCCCAACTCCAACACAAGCCCAGTTTGTGCAAAGTCCCTGGGTAGTACCCATCATGAAAGCTGTGTTTGCCTATGCCGAGGCAGTTCGCAGTATTTGCAACAACGGTGTGTGTGCCAGACTGACCTCGATGACCCCAGCAGAGTTCAAAAGTGTGCTGTTTAGCTTGGGTTTCACCATCCCAGGCACTTTCCCACCATCTCTGAGAGGACAGAATATATCATTTGATTCTAACGGAGATCCTCAAACATCGGCTTTTACTGTGTACAACTACAACAATCGTGCAGGAACTTATGCATTTGAAGAGGTATTTTTACATTTAATCTTTTCACTCTTTCTGTGCCCAAGTTTCTTAAAATACCATTGAGGCACTGACTGGTAACTCATTATATGATTCTTGTAACAACTGAAGTTTAGTCCGGTTACTACATTCTTCTATTCAGTTCCAATTTTTACTTGACACTAATTCTTTTTTTTTTTTTTTAAGTAGGGTTTTTATTCAGCCTCCATTATACTCAGTATTTACTAATTTAAAGTGCCAACTGACTCAGACAGAATTAATTAAAGTTACGGCAGTCTGGGACTGAAAAAGTTGATATTCCCTGTGTGAGTTGTGTGGGGGCACCATTTTGGCAGAGGATTGGGAAGGGAAGAATAAACTTATTGCCACTGTCTGCACCTTTCAGTCCAACATATCTGATTGCAGAGAACCTCTGATTAATTGCCTTAAACAACATTGCTTGTTTAGGGAGGGGTGGGCGTAATGTCTATCTCCCCCCCCCCCCCCCCCCCCCTTCACAAAAATAAGGCCCTGGGACCCATGTGGATTTTTCAGAGGTAATGAACATCATGTAATGCACAGACTTGCACAGAAAGCTATTGCTAATCTGACTTTAAAAGACATTTAAAAAAAAAAGGGAATGTAGTAATGCATACATATACAAGCAAGGAGAAAAGAAGCTTGTTACTGAAGTTCCTTCGTCTTCTTTTTAGCGTTCACTGGCAGACAGTTTTTGTTGTGTGCCCACCTCTGGACTTCCTTCTAGTTCCAGAACTGGAATTTTGAGGGCACACTCATTTTACAGACTTGCTTTACTTGTATGCAGACTGTTGGTTCCTCATCCGCTGAGGCAGATGCGCTCTGACTTTGTTGGAAAATGCATAATTAGTCACCTTTTACGACATGTGTATTTGGGAGACAGCGGGTCTGTTTCACCCCCTCTGAACCCACACCCAGAATTAGTTTCAATTTAATTATCGTTATTTGACATATATGAAATGATTGTTTTTATCTGCAGATTGGGCGCTTTGAATCAAACACTTTCACTCTGGCCAGTCCGCCCTTGCTCTATGATTCAACTCGTAACACTGCCCTTACTACTAATCCCACAGCCACATGTGCCAGTTTGGGCTGTCAAAATTGCCTTGTACCTCAACGATTAGTAACTTATCGGTACAGATCTGGTGACTTGGTCATTGCCTCTTTGATTAATGCTCATGAACCGAGTCGGGCTCCGTATACATGTGGTGCTGGCCGAGCCTCGCAGCTCGCATCACTTGTTGCAGCTGAATGGGCTGTACAACAGTACAAAATAAGCAACCCCTCCCAGTTTCTACAAGTCAGTCTTGGAAGTTTGGTGGCTGATATTTGCCCAGATGTTGCAGTTGCTCAAGGTTTCATCACTGACGTGTTAAGTGGCAACAACAGATTAACCGATTCCTCCGGAGCTGTCATTCCAGCTAGCAGTATTCAGGCTTTTGTTGATGCAACCAGTAAGTGAACTTTTTTCTGCTTAGATCAATGGTTTTTACCCCTTTTGAGTTCATAATTAACAACTTTCTTTCTGCTTTGTTTCCTGTGGGAGATTTCGTAAAACCAGTCGAGAGTTAAAAAGCTTTGGAAGCGTTTTTTGACTCTTTCAGTACCAGAAAGATAAAGTGTAACCAATTTACCCCAGAATTGTTTTACATTCATAAAAATTTTATTTGACCAGATTCAATTTAAAAAATTTAAGGACAATTAACAACACCATATTGACTGTTTTGATCAGACCTGTACAAAGTATGATATGAGAATAAAGACATAGAAAACTAAAGTAATGAGGTTAGGCAGGAAACATAATATCGTAAAGGTTTATGTTAATGGTACTACAATCAAACAGTTATGAGAATTCAACTATCTAGGAAGCATATCGAGCATTGATCTAACAGCTGACATCACAGCACTCAGGACATATTCCCACAAGCCCTCTATCCTCATCTTCAGCAGCCAGTGAAGAGTTCCAATTCTGGTGGTGCCAGTAGCATTTTGTTTGTATGTCTGTCTTGTCTTCCTTCTGAGTGTAGTGTGTTGATCCCCTGGTCACTCCTAGCTGTGGCATTCTCTCCAGACCATAATGATCTGTTCGTGCCTCCCCATTGTGAACTTGCTCCCAACAGGCGTTGACCACATGTTGATTTTAAAATTACTTACTCACTTACTTACTTAGTCCCTCCTTTTCTACCTTGGGGTGTAGAGATTTGCCAGAGAGATCTCCAGACTTCTCTGTCTGCATTTTTCTTTCTGGCTTTGTTCCTTTCCAGTCCAAACTGTGACTGATCCACTCAAGTTAGTAAAGTCTGGGCTTCAAGATCTTAAGGTATTGTCTGACTGCGAACTTTGTCCCCCTCTTGGCACTTGGATCACCTTTCTCAGATATCTCATTTCTGAGGCCTGAAGCTGGCTTCGGTGAGCTGCCAATGACTCACACTCATAAGTCAGGACTGGTACATAGGTAGAGCGGTAAACAGCCATTGTCGTCCTCTTGCCAATTTCTCTTTTGCTAATAATATAATTACACTTAATAATAAGGCTGTGAAAGAGAAGCAGTTAGAGTAACAAATGGAGCAGACACTATTAATGTGACAACTGGATGGGGGCATAAGGAGTTCTAAAAAAAATGAATAATGTTAACCGTACCCAACAAAACTGTGATGCTTGGTACTGAAGGAGTTGAAAAAAACATTGCAGTCTCTGTAAAAATTAGAGGTGCAGGAACAAAATGTAAACAAAGTGCCCTATGTTATTTACGTTATTTCACTCGAGTCGTGCAGCAATAAGCAGGCAGATAGGCTGGCTGGACTGGCCTCACTAACGGCGTACTGCATCTGTACAAGACAGAGGTGACCTTTCACCTATGGAATGAGGTCACAGCTAAAGTAGAAGATACTAAAACCCCACACTGGAGAGAATGATGTAGCAGGGAGCGTCTGCTGGGGGGGGGGGGGGGGGTGGTGGTGTAGATGAAGCTAAAATGAGCTTGTCCTGAATGCTTTCATGTTGAATCTTCACCCATATTGCCCATTACTTTTAAAAATAGCATGGCTTACATAGAATGAATTCAAGAGCTATGAGTTAACCGACATCAGGTCATTTCCATAAATATGCGCCATCCCCATCTTAAGCAGCAAGCAGGGAATTCCAGTTCTGATGGTTTGAGTAACATTCTGATTGCATGTCTGTCTCACCCCTCCTCCAAGTCTTGAGCGTCCAACAGATCCCTGTCTCACCACTCCTCTGAGTGTTGAGCGTCCAACAGATCCCTGTCTCACCACTCCTCTGAGGAGCGTCTATCAGATCCCAGTCTCACCCCTCCTCTGAGTGTTGAGCATCTATCAGATCCCTGTCTCACCCCTTCTCTGAGTGTTGAGCATCTAACAGATCCCTGTCTCACCCCTCCTCCAAGTCTTGAGCGTCCAACAGATCCCTGTCTCACCACTCCTCTGAGTGTTGAGCATCTATCAGATCCCTGTGTCACCCCTCCTCTGAGGAGCGTCTATCAGATCCCAGTCTCACCACTCCTCTGAGTGTTGAGCATCTATCAGATCCCAGTCTCACCCCTCCTCTGAGTGTTGAGCATCTATCAGATCCCTGTCTCACCACTCCTCTGAGTGTTGAGCATCTATCAGATCCCTGTCTCACCACTCCTCTGAGTGTTGAGCATCTATCAGATCCCTGTCTCACCACTCCTCTGAGTGTTGAGCATCTATCAGATCCCTGTCTCACCCCTCCTCTGAGTGTTGAGCATCTATCAGATCCCAGTCTCACCCCTCCTCTGAGTGTTGAGCATCTATCAGATCCCTGTCTCACCCATCCTCTGAGGAGCGTCTATCAGATCCCAGTCTCACCCCTCCTCTGAGTGTTGAGCGTCTATCAGATACCCTGGTCACTCCAAAGGGCCTCACAACATCTAGATTGTCATGCAACCAATTCGTGCATGAATGAAATTAAAGAAGCAGCTGAAAGCAGAGAACCATCTAATCAGTCACTGGTATTAACAGTTGTGAGAGAACGATTATGGCAGATTATACTGAGAAGAAGCCGACAAAGAATCACACAACAGGCACTGAAATGAGAAACAAATGATTGAGGAATCTAGGAAAGAGAAACTGCAAATGTTGATTAGAAGATAAAAGTGTATGCTGTCTAAAGGATTGCACATGCTACAGCAGAATAGAAGAATAAGCTTTGAGCCCTATGTGATATATGAATGCCACAAGAGGATGATGATAATAACAGGTAAGATAGTTGTTAGTTTACTTTGAAGTATTGAAACAAACTTACATGGCAGTGGTAAGTTTTTTACCACGTTATGAGCAAAGCATAAGTTGAACGTGTTATGAAAACTGAACAGGTTTATGCAAAAAGGAAAGGGGGTGGGGAGACTTGAAAGAATATTTTTGTTAGCCATTTATGTGGCATGTAAAGGTGTTAGTTCACAGATTAGTGCATGTCGTTGGTGGTGTCTTTTCTTCTGCCCCTCCATCCTGAAATGGAGCATAGGCCCTCAGCCAGCTGATGTCAGGTTGTCCTGTCCTTGCTGTCACATGCAGTTCACCTCATGTCCTCCCAGTCTTTTTTATCCTCTCTCTCTAGTTCCCTTCTCCATATGTTTTTGGTCTTACTTCATTTCTATGCCCCTGTGGGTTCCATTGTGAAGATATTCTAGTTATATTGTTCTCAGGTTTTCTCAACATGTTATCTGTCCAAAACTAGCTTCTTCTTCCCCTCTTGATTCACTGGAATCCTTATTCTCTCCAGAAGCTCCACATTAGTGACTATCATACCATTTAATTCCCTCTGTTTTGCACAGGTACTAGCTAATGAACATTTGTAGTTTATTAGTAACTGTTGTAGTTATACTCCATGTTTTCAGTTGCTGTTGGTATGCAGTGATAAAATATTTGTGAAGCCCTTACCCTTTGCATGCATAACGTAGTAACTGTCACGGAATATACTTTTTTTATGATATGCCTTACTTCACCCAGGTAATCAGCAGGCAAAGATAATTAGCCCCATAATTTCTGACTACAACATTTCTGAAGTGATGGCCGACGTGAGCACATCAGTGATATCTCGCGGAGGTGATACTCCTTATTTCACCAGAGCAGCCCCAAGTGATGAGGTATTCTACTCAGCAATTTCAAATGTCTTGCAGGGTCTTGGGTGGAAATATGTGCAGGTAAGACCTTTCTTTCTTTCTTTCTTTCTTTCTTTCTTTCTTTCTTTCTTTCTTTCTTTCTTTCTTTCTTTCTTTCTTTCTTTCTTTCTTTCTTTCTTTCTTTCTTTCTTTCTTTCTTCCTTCCTTTCTTTCCATCTTTCTTTCTTTTTTTTTCTCTTTTTTTTTATGTTCACCCTTAAAAAGGCATATATCAATATATGTTGTGGTTTACAGCTAGGCAGAGATATCTGCATTTTTTGGCCTAATACATATGGATTCAGCTAACCATTTGGTTTTGCATGGTAGTTAGTTGCACTTTTTACGGTGCTTTTGTATATTTGTTCCACACTTTGTAGTTTGGGTTTCAGATTTCTCTGTATTTTTTTATGCTTGCAGTTTTTGTACCCTGTGATTTTAAGGTATTCAACATTTCCCAATTTGATTTGAATGGTAGTTGTATACTCTGCTTCAGCTCTTTTCACTTACTGATAAACTACATACATTCATTAACTGTTGCATGGGAATTGTAGAGGGAATTAAATGCTATGACATAATCACTAATGCAGAGTTTTTGGGAGACAAAAAAACAAATTTTAGTAAATCAAGAGGTGAGGATAAGACACTGGTGTTGGATAGGACAGGCTTCCAAGTGTTGGTCCCGGGGCCCATTTTGGGGGAATAAAGAAAGGTTACACTGTTCCCCTAACAAGTTTGTAATAAAAGTGACTTATTAGGGCTGTTTCCTAATGTGCATCTGCCTGAGAGGCAAGGAACCAACAGTCTGCATACAAACAAGCCTCATCTGTGTAATGGATGTGCATGAAAAATATACGTTCTGGAACAGGACCAAAGTCCAGAAGGGGATGAACCTGAACTTTCCTCCGGAATTTATGGATGGTGTATGCTACGAAGAAGAAAAGGAGGATAGGATGCACATTGAGAAGTTGACCTTATAACCAGGATGTTCATGCATTGATGCACACTTAGTCAAATGAATAAAGGCAGACCCCAAACAAAAATACATGGAGAGGGAAACTAGAAAGTGAATTGAAAAAGATTATAAGGATATTGGCACATAATAACAGAAGATAGGAGGGCTGGATGGGGGTTGTTTCTGGGCCCATGCTCCAGTGGGAGTTGAAAAGAAAAAAAAAACCCAGACGTGCTTTGGATCATTGTCTTTGGCAAGAAAGTTGATATTTTTGATGACTGAAAGAAACGAAAAAATAAAGTAATTGTTTTCTCTGCTCTCAGGTGGCAACTCATTTGTCAGGTGAATACAGAGAAATGGCAGATACCTTCACTCGTGTTGCAGCAAGGTCAGTAGTACATTTGATACATTAAATGAACCAAATAGTCATCTTCTATTACTTGTTTGTTTTCTCAGACAGCGATTCCAGCTTCCGGCTGAGGCGGTAATCATTAGAGTTGTGTTCCGAGAGTTATGTGTGGATCACATTCCTCTTCTTCTTACTCCTCCTTCTGCTGCACATACTCCTCCTTCAGTTACCTCACTGAAATGTTGGAGGGAATGTATTTTCTGTGTACTGTTTCTAATGCATTGTATCTTTCTAATGCATTGTTCAAGTTAATCTTAATTTCTTTGAGGCTGCTTTTGATACTGTCATTCCATGTTCTGCATGGTCTTTCCCTCGCCCTGTGTAAATTTTTTTAGGCGTTGCTCCCTGGGGCAATTGGTACCATGGCGTTCTTGTAGGATGACCAAACCATTTCATCCATTGCTCTCTAATGAACTGAATGACTGGTTTCGGTCTTCTTAAATGTAAATAATGTCTAAAATATTTTTCGTGATCTTAGGGTCAGTGGTAAATCCCACTCTATGTTTTGCACATTGGGTCTTATCCGTTGTAGAAAATACCAGTACAAACTCTATGTGTAATCTCTTCAACTACATCCTTTCAATCTTAATTCTGCTAAACCTAAAATGTTCCTTTGGTGTTCTGTATCAGTTATATAATTTCTTAATTTATTTTCAAGCTGAAATATTAAACTATGTATGCATGCATTATTTATTAGTTGCCATTATGAATATGCTATACTTGTAGCTTCTTGAATATTTTTATAATATCCCTCTTATTTTCTCTGAAGCTGGAGTACATCTGTCTGAGAAATGAGGAATCAACAGTTTGCATACACATAAGCCAGATCTATAAAATGGATGTGCATGTCAAACTCAAGTTCTAGATCACGTCTAAAGTCTAGAAGTGGATGAACAGTCAGAACTTTCTACTGTTCGTCTGTTATCAGATGTAGTACGGGGTCTCCATGGCGCTTGGGTCAAGATTATGGGCTTGTTTCATGAACTGCGACATTTGATTAATGAGTACAATATATACAGAGATCCCTGGGGATCATTGATGGAGTTTGAGCTTTGTGTGATGCTCCAGTCAGGTGGCTGGACATTTTTCTGAGAAAGACTGAGCTATATGGGATAAAACCCAGTGCAATCAAGTTGATCCTCTTCACTTTAACTTTGTTAGATTTAGATGTAATAAGTTCCCTGAGTAGATTCCAGGGCCCCATTGTAAATAAAGTGGGAGGGGGCGGGGGTGGATAGAATAGACCTCATGCCCTCCTAAAAAGCATGTCGTAAAATTCAACTAATTAAGGGTGTTTCTTTTGAAGTCAGACTGCACCTGATTGAGAGGCGAGGAACCAACAGTCTGCATACAACCATGCCAGATCTGAAAAACAGATGTGCACAAACAACCAGCCACAGTGTATAGCTGGTTAATGCAAAGAAGAAGAATATGTAGTGTCTGTTGGTAACTGATGACATTAACTGGTGTTTCTGCATTCTAAAAACATTTCCTCATTTATGTACAGATTTCAGTGTATTTTTTTTAAAAATTAGCCTTTTCCCCCTTCATTTTTCAGATATGGCATCTGTGTCGTTGATGTGAGTGAATATTTTGGCAATGGAATGGTGGACCAGTACAACAGCACAGTCAGGCGTTTGCTAAGTAATCGTGACACTCAGGTTGTTGTAGTCTTTGCTGACATGATGGCAGTTCGAGGATTGTTAATGGCAATTGGGCAAAATGGTATATTTTGTAGTCCTTCGTGTATTCTCTGTTGCTTTGAGGTTAGTGAATGCATTTAACATTCATGATCCTCAAGTACTGAGATTTAATTTCTGCAGTGGGTGGTTTATAAAAGAACAAGCCTGTCAATTTTTGGGACAGTGGTATGAAAGTCATGGTATGTTATCACAGTCGATGTCACTGCACATTGGGCATTCCCATCCATGCTCAGTCCTCTGCTTCAGCTTCACTTCAAGGTACCTCTACTGATTGTTCCCACAAGGAGCTGGATATAATGTCTCCTGTTTCAGCCTCCGAGGTGGCATTGACATACATCACCATGCTTTACTCCCCTATCACGTAGAATATGAAAGTCACATTGTGGAAGAGAGTAGGGACCTCACCACGTAATATTCCCATAGACAGCAGGGGTACACTGTAGCCAGTCTTCATTGTGGAGACACTACACAGTTTGTTCATACTTGATTATTTCCTAATGTGAAATTTGAATATCTTTAATTAGTCACCTTTTACAAGAAGGAAACATCTTTAATTAGTCACCTTTTACAAGAAGGAAACATCTTTAATTAGTCACCTTTTACAAGAAGGAAACATCTTTAATTAGTCACCTTTTACAAGAAGGAAACATCTTTAATTAGTAACCTTTTACAAGAAGGAAACATCTTTCATTAGTCACCTTTTACAAGAAGGAAACATCTTTAATTAGTAACCTTTTACAAGAAGGAAACATCTTTCATTAGTCACCTTTTACAAGAAGGAAACATCTTTCATTCGTCACCTTTTACAACATGCTTGTTAGGGGCACAGTGAGTCTGTTCTTTTACCTCTAAAAATGGGGCCTGGAACCCACACAGGAATGACAGTATCTGATACCTGACTACCATTACCATTTAATATCTCCTTCTTTGCATTCACCGGCTATAAACGCTGGCAGAAAGTTCTGGTTGTTCATTTACCTCAGGACTTTAGACTTGCTGCAGAACCTGAGTGTTGCATGCACATCTGTTTTCCAGATCTGACTTATTTGTATGCAAACTGTTGGTTCCTTGCCTCTCAGGCAGATGCATTTCTTCTTCGAAGTAAACCTCCAATTACTATATGCTTGTTGGGGGCAGTGAGTTTATTCTTGTTTCCCCCACAATGGGGCCCCAGAATCCACACAAGGAATCTTTTAATATAACATTTTAGATTTAAAAATTAGAATCTCATACAACTAAAGATACCCAGATGGTTTGACCACATGAATGGAATAGAAAAAAGCACTGATCTGCTCCATGATTGTTTGGGTTGGGAACCCATTACCAGCTTCACCTTTTGGGGTAGTGCATGATAATGATGATGATATATTAAAACAGTGGTCTTCAACCTTTTTCAGGTGGCGTCACCACTTGAGCATATGGCAAGACACCCCACCTCTTTCCCTCCAACATAACAAAATGTGATAAAAAAAGACAAGGAATGTGTTCTTAGTCTATAATTAAATGCACATGTCATATTAATTCAGTTTTCAACCATAGACATACAGACTGCTCATGAAAAATATAAGTGTCCTTGGCTTTTGTTTCATAAATAGTTTAAACCATATTTGATTTATAATTAAACTACTACTTCTTCTTCTTCACAGTCCTGCTCCTGAACCCGAGTGTTGTGTGTGTATCAGTTTTACAGATCTAATTCACTTAAATGTAGACTGTTGGTTCCTTGCCTCTCAAGCAGATGCACTCTGACTTCAAATGAAGCTCCCCAATTAGTCAATTCTTACAACATGCTTTTGGGTAGGCAGTGGGTCTATTCTTGTTTTCCCCTCAATAGGGCCCCGGAACCCACACGGGGAATAATTGAACTGAAAAATATGAGTATGACGGATTATTACAAATACAAATGTACTAATTTTCAGAATTGCTTGACGCCCCCTCGGAACTTCTTAATGCCCCCTTCACCCCCAGTTAGAGACCACTGTGTTGCTAAAGTCTTGAAATTTTCCTTGTTTTAATTTCACTCTTTACTTTAATTTCAGGAGCTGTCAGCCAGCTACAGCTGGTGGCGGGCACTTCCAACTGGGGCACTGACATGGCCTACCTCCAAGGCCTGGAAACCTTGACCTCTGGAGTGATTGTGGGAGATCTGGATCTCACTGCAAACACAGCATTCAGTTCGTATTTACAGGGTTTGACCCTTGCCAACATCGCAGTCAACCCTTTCTTACGAGAGCTGTTTGAAATCACCAATCAGTGCTCCATTGACCCTGCCTCTCAAGGCATGTATGCACGTATATGTACCAGCACTGACAGATTCACCAATGTCTATATGGTAAGTGGACGTGTTTTATAATCTAAAATATATTACAGGTTTGCCTGGCATTAAGTAGTCATTGGGAGCCAACCTGGTGTAACAGTTAGAAGCTGGCCTTCAGATTCGAAGGTTGTAGGTTCAAATCCACATGGAGCCTAAATTGTTTTAGACATGACCTTGGCTACCAGAATTGCAAACGCTGCTGACACAACTCAGCCTTCAGCGAAGAGTCGTAATGCAATGGATACCGTCCCATTGTGGAGTGCCTGAAAATTAGAAAGCTGATCAACTGGCAGGGGAAAGTGCGACAAAAGTGCAGCCAGATATACCAGTCACATACCACCAAAAGAAAAAGAATCATTAAATCGATCAGGAAACCACCAGCCCCAGCACAAGACGACTATTTTATTATGGATAGACCAGAACAAGTAATTATCTTCCACCTCAGAACAGGGCACAACCGATTACGTATCCACATGTACACAAAATTTAAGATAGGCGTATCAGCCATGTGCACCTGTGGAAAGGTGCCCCAGGCAGCAGAGCATGCACTCCAAGACTGCACCGAATTTGACTCATTAAGGCAAACCTTTTGGCCAGAAAGAACAACAGTGGAACGTAAACTCTATGTACCACTTAATGAACTAACAACCACAGTGAAATTTATACAAGAGACAAAATTGCTGATATAGACAATTTATTTCAGGCAAACGAAAGAACAAGAAGAAGATTGGGAGCCGACCTGGTGTAACAGTTAGAAGCTGGCCGGCAGTTCGAAGGTCGTGGGTTCAAATCCACATGGAGCCTAAATTGTTTTAGACATGACCTTGGCTACCAGATTGACCCAGCCTTAAATGGGTACCAGGTAAAATCCTGGGAAATAAAGGTGGCCGGCGCAACGTTGACCACATCACCCATAGAGGGCTGATCTATGAAGATGTGTCTAGCCTCAAATGCTGGCGTGTACAGGGACCTTTACTTTACAAGTGATCCTCATCCATCCTCATGTAGGAGGTCTTTTACAGCACGTCGCTCTCGTCATAGCCCACCTGAAAGAAACTCAGTCCCTCGCCGCTCTCCCGCCTCGTGCTCATTCCCTGCCCAAGGTCTCTTTATGCTGGTTAGCCCCTGCCCTTTTCCCAGGGTACCATGCCATTCACTGCTATTCTTTCCAGTCTGCCATGGCATTTTATATGGCCAGAGTATTTCACATTCTGAGGCAAAATGCTGTTTATTAGCCAATTTTCTTGATGTTCAGATCATTTAGGATGTCAGTATTATTTTCTTCTTGAACATACATGTTGATATTTCAAGCCAGTAGTTATATATCAATCATGCACCAATACAAACAAAATCAGCATGTCTTTATTATAAGTGTACATATTGTGTAATTCTTCATTCCTTCCTTCACGTTCACTGGCTGTAAATTCCAGAGGAAAGTTCTGGTTGTTAGTCCACTTTTTGGCTTTAGCCTTCTTTCAGAACCTGAGTTTTGGGTGTGCATCCGTTTTACAGATCTAGCTTATTTGTTTGGAGACTTGTGTTCCTTGGATCTCAGGCAGATGTGCTGTGACTTCAATGGAAATCCTCAATTAGTCTAATTCTACGACATGCTTGCTAATGAGGCAGTGGGTGTGTTCTGTAACCCCCTTTCCCCCTTCTCCAAACCGTTTAATAAAGTTACCCTATGTTGTTGGCACTCCCAGACAATTATTTTCCTTCATAACTTCAACGAATTTGTGTTTTCTGATGGTCTTATGTGACCCCTTTGAAAGGGTCATTCGATTAAAAATAGGTTGAGAACCGCTGATCTATATAAAACTGTCACTATTACTGCTCCTACTCTACCCCATGTGGCATTGCTACATTTTTGCTGTCTAGACTTGGTTGAGGACTGACCTAATCTGGCTTGTAACAAGAGCTTGTTTTGGCATCTCTACACACTTTACATCATGGCTGTTCAACTGGCGGCCCATGGCCGAATTTGACCAACTGAAGCCTAGCAAGAAGCCCACAAATCATTGTCAGTTGTATTGTATTAATTAGCTTTCTATGCTTGGGCTCAGGCTCCTATTCCAATTTCTTTTAAGAAGAAAAAAAAAATCAAAAACTCAGCCACGTTCAACCTGCTGCTAGCTAGCCAAAGCTGCCAACAGTCTCCGGCTATATTTATTGTCTTGTTTATTTGCGCCACTTTTTGGCTAAAGTTCAGGTATTTGCGCCGTCTCTGGGCTTAATGCTTCTTTCCTTCAAGCCAGACCACCGCTCATTCCCTGTCCTGTTGTCAACTGTGTTCTTCTTGCCCTTTCATTTCTGATGTTTCCTCCTTGGTTTCAGCTC